TTTATTGACATAGCATACAATTCGATGGTTCAAACATATTAAAAGGTAGTATGATCACCACAATCAATTTTAGAACAACTTCTTCTTTCTTGTACTCTTTATTATTAGCTCCCACTTCCCCCAACCTTCCCCTGTCAGAACCCTAAGAAATTATTATTCAGTTACTGTCTTTATAGATTTACCTATCCTGGCTTTCATATAAAGTAAAACATACTCCCCCATGACCCAAAGCAAAACCAACAATAGCAAATTAAACAGAATCACAGTAATAGAAATGAAAGTAGAATATAATAAAACGCAGAACAAATTTAAAATAGCTAAAGAGGGAGAACAAATGCTAAGATGTTAGATCTTAACTCAAAAACATCTGGATTAGTCGATTTTCCAATGCATTTTATCCGGCTATTCCCATGTTAAATTTTAACTCAAAAACATCTGGATTAGTCAATTTTCCAATGCATTTTTATCGATTTGCATTGGAAATCGACTTTCCAGTGCATTTTTCCAATGCATTTTATTAGGCTATTCACGTGCCTGATCAATGGTCAGAGGGGCCTCACTGGAGGCTTAATTCATGTGAGGACCCTGTCAATGGATTTGGAGCTCTCACTGTCATCTAGAGCCTTCGGCAAATGGGCCCATCTAAAAACAAGCAGCCATCTAAGTGAGTTGTCAACAGCCTATGTGAACCAAGGGTTGTTACTAATAAAATCTAAGACCAAAATTCTGAGCACCTAGTTTGCATGGAAGAGTTGACCACTGAGTAAGGAAGAACGAACAAGACTTCATGCATTTGAACGATGGTGCTGGTGAAAATATTGAAAATATCATGGACAGCCAAAAGAACAAATAAGCATGTCTGGGAAAAAGTATAGCCAGAGTGCTCCTTAAAGGCAAGAATGGTGAGACTTCATCTCACATAGGCTAGATGGGCTGTCAGGAGAGACCAGTCCCTGGAGAAAGGCATCATGCTTGGTAAAGTGGAGGGGCAGCAAAGCAGAGGAAGGCCCACAGCAAGCAAGATGGACTGACTGAGTGGCCGCAACCATGGGCGCAAGCATACGGACCCTGGTGAGGGTGGTGCAGGAGTGCACAGTGAGCTGTTCTGTTGGACATGGGTTTGCTACGGGTCAGAACAGATTCGACGACACCCAATAACGACAGTTTGCAAAAGGCGATGGATGGCAGTGAAAGCTCCTTGTTATTAATGTTGTCCCTAGTTTAAGACCCGCACAGTCAAATACATGATGTAACTTTCATAGGACACCTTCTGAATGTTGCAGACATGAAGAGCAAAGTATACACACTGCACAAAACACAGGAGGAACAGGAGCGAGAAGACGGGTGGAATTTATGATGGAAGCTGTTCTACCATCACAGTGAAGAGA